CCCATTCAATTCACACTTTTATAGAATCGTCATTCAAAATATTGAATCATTGGTGTTACTTTTACTTGCCTTTCAGTCCGATTAATGGGATCTTGTGATCTGGGAAAGGGTCAAATACCAGTGGGGAATTATTCTCTGTATTTTTTAAAATGTTAAGAATGTCCCTTTGTCATCAATGATGTCTCATCAATGTTCTTGAAAAATGAACAAAATTCAGCAAAAGGGATTTAAGTTCAGAAATTATCCATATGCCTCCCTTAATAGCCCCTCTCCCTTCCAAGGGAAAATAGGACCGGGAAAGGCAGCAAATTTAGTGGAGCAAGCGAATCAGGACGAAGAACAGGGAAGGAGTTAACTGTAAAATTCAATGCGATCGGCAAGCGGTTCACTTGGTCACAGAATCAAAGACAAGACAATTTATGCGCGCTCAAACCATTCTTTTAGGGATCACCATAATGCTAGGAAGGAGAGAAACTAAGCGGGCTCGTCCTAAAATGTGACCTCTGCCTCTGCCCCATGCCCCCTCCTGTTATCGGGAAAAAGCGGTAATTCAGGAGTATAAACACGAGACTTGGCGGTTCCTAAACAAACAGAAATCACTTGCTCACTACTTCCTACCTTCATTTTTAAAATCTGTATAGAAAAGCTATTTTGTTTTGCAAGTACCCATTTTAATAGAGATTGAGAGAGTCTTCACTCGAGCCTCGTGGCCCCCATTGTCAGAGCTTTTACCACTTATTGTTTCTTGAATGGCTACTATGGCTACTCTTACAGGAAGGTATACTAGACCAACATAGGATAATACCCTCTCGTCAAGTGGTCCGAATGGTAAGATTCCTGGTCACTTTTAAACTGAGTGACAATAAATCTGTGGTAATTCAGATAGAAGAACACACCGTGTTTAATTACAAAACGATTTAAAAACAGTTCGTAGTAAAGTCGTGTTATCTGTATTATACTGAGTGCGAAAAGGTACAAAGAAAGAGTTGAGTAACCCACAAATTTCATCACGTGACATAACTGTACCTAAACCGTCCGCTGCATTTCAAAGACAAATTAAGGTTCGTCAAAAATTGGTGTTTGGTGATGTCTACTTCTCTTTTTCTGCTTTGTAACTCGATATCATGATAGAAATTTCGAGCGGAAATTATAAAAACTCAAGGCAGCACGCTGGCCTTTTAACGTTGAACTTTCCGAGAATGTTATTTCATGACTCTGGCCACACGAGTTGGATCAAAAGAGGTAATACGAGTCTTTATCTAAACACACTGCGATTGACGTCCATCAACATGACAGCACCCTGGCCCTTTGAATATTGAACTTTTCAAGAATGTTATTGCATGACTCTGGCCACTGAGGTTGTATGGACTGAGGTAAAGTAGGGCTTCAACGAAAAAGTCGCGACGCTCTTCTAAAAAAAATTATAAATCAGTTAGGTAGGTGAAAACACCCAAGCCCTTAGAACGAACGTTGTAAGAATGTCGAGCATGAAAATGCTGCATGTCGTGCATGCAAAAAACGAAAAAAAAGACAAATTGTTACAATTTTAAGAACGCCGAACAGAACAAATTTTTTGGGGTTCATGCACTCCGAAAAACGTTTACGGTTGGTCCTTGGGAATATCTCGTGGAAGTAATTCAGGTCCACGTAGCATGCCGATCTCTGTAATGAAACGAACAGGTAACGTTTTCTGTGCGAAATTTTCGTTTCGTTTCACAATAAGTAAAGAGCTGATCGCTATGATTTAGCCACGCTTACATGATTCATGGTCAATCTAGCTTCAAAGCGTCCCAAAATGGCAAGACATAAAACTAAATTTTTTTCTTGTACTTGAAAAGTGATCTCTTGAAAAGAAAAAAAAAGCTAAAATGTGTAAAAATTTCTAAAATTTCGTTACAAGCTGCAGACTCTCAAGCTACACCTGGCTCGCACATTTTAGCATGCGAATGCTCAGCCTGATGGCAAATCAGATTGAAACTTTTCCAAATCCAATAGAGTTACTCAAAGGCTTATACGATAAAAGAAAAAAGGAATTCATAACTCTGTGCTGCGTGATTGCACCTTGTCAGTGAATTTGAATAAAGCTTCTTAGTTAGGAATGCATTCATTAGTAAGGAAAAACAACATAAAGCGTCCCAAAATTACATTCCACTTTACCCTTTAAGCAAGGAGAGACCATGGACTCAGAAGATGTTTTTCTTTAACGAATTAGACACTTACCTGTCACCAGCTTCAGGCATAGCAATACTGTTATGAGTGCAATAATAACATCGTTGATAAGATTTCTCTCCCAATCAAGATAACCCAAGTTGTTTGGGTCGTTGTTAATATTTGTGATAACTTGCAACACAGTACAAATTTCATCGCCTTCTTCTGGTGACCTTTGTGGGGAAAAAGGATGAAGCTAATTGAATGACGCGAAATTATTTAAAAGCACTCACCTGTTCCTAGATTATAGGAAGTTTCTGTAAAATCGTGTATACTGAACGCAATTCCACAGGTACAAGGTAGTTTAAAAGCCATTTCGAGTTAAAACTTGAGGTCTTTTCATCACATTAACAAGAAAATAAACACATTCTATTGTTACGTAACATCGAACTTTTCTCAGTCTTAGGAGAAGGAATGTAACCATCTGTAGCATATCGCATCTTGTCGGTGAATTTGAATGCAGTTAGTTTCTTGCTCGCAAGTGCCTTCTTTTTCACGAAAGACAGCATCAAGGGTCCAAACATTTCATTGCAATTTACCCTCTCCAACGACAGAGGAGGTCAAAAGAAGTAACGAAGGACTCAGTACATGTTTATTTTAAACACCTTATAGCTGCCATAGGCAAAGCAATACCGTTGCGAATGCAATAGTGAGATTGTTGATAAGATTTCTCGCCCAGTCAAGATAAGCCCAGTTGTTTCGGTAGCCGCTAATATCTGTGACAACTTGCAACACAGTTTAAGCCTCTGCGACTTATCTAGAGACCTTTGTCGGAAAGAAGATGGAGTTAATTGAGTGACACGAAATTATTTTAAAGTTCTCACCTGTTTTTAAGTTATAGTCTCTGTAAAATATTTTAAACCTCACACAATTCAAGAAGCGTAAGATAGTTTAAAAGACATTTCGTGTCTAATCTTCGAGTCATTCATTGCAATGAACAGGAAAATGATTACATTCTATTATGTAATAACAAACTTCTCCATCGGTGCATGACACGGCCCTAGGTGGCCTTCCATTTAAACCTCATCACAGTCACCTGTTCACAGGAAAATGATCACATTCTATTCTTACGTAATATCAAACCTTAGATCATGACCCTCTTCAATTTTGAGCTTCCCAAAAATTTGAACCACTATCATTCACGGAATGCGAGATTAATAGATGACATATTCTTCCAAATGAAATCAACAACTAAAGATACGCAAAGAATCTCTTATTCAATCATGCGAGACAGACATCATTTAGTCTAGTCTCGCGGCAATAAAAGATACATTCCTACCAAGAGGCAGGTAACACCTGGAAAACAAGATATTAGATAAGAAAAAACTTAAATCGTTGCATTTTAGTAGAGTAGTTTATTTTGAGAGTCAGGAGGTGAAAAAAATATTTGCATGATAATTAAAAAAAGAAAACCTTTTAAAGCTATGTTATTTCTTCTCTAATGTCATTTTCCTCTTATTATTAAGAACATGAGTCGCCGAACAAACCCCACGATCTCACGCCGAACTGTACGTTGCTACGTTTCTACCGAGAGTTTCTTGCCATTTGGTCATTAGATATTTTGCCTTTCCTTTCGTTATTTTATATTACGGTAATTCTACTTGTCATGATAGTAATCTAGTTTGACTTCAAGAGGTAAGGTCAAGGGCTAGTTTGAAGTCTTTGAACAATCCCCTCCTCCCTTCCCATCTCACATCTCATTCATTTAGATGCTGGCCGGATTGTAGTCTTCCCTCTTAGTTCTTTCGCGCGAACGTGCACACCCTGTGTTGTGCTCCAATTCATGTCTAGATTACAACACGGCCATTGACTGAGTTCGTAATTCGCAGCATAAGCGGACATGCTGCTATTATAAGTGAAAGCCCACGAGGCTCTAGCTTATAACACTTTAAGGCACAAAATTAGACAGCCTCTTCGTTTCCTATGAAAAAGGGAAATCTGAAATAGGCTTTAAATATGTAAAAGCAGTGCTTTAAGCTGTGTAAGTAATAGGGTTTTCTATGTTAAAAGTTAAGTCTGCAAAATCGCAAAAGTTAGTTTTTTGCCTTCATAGGAAGGGGAACGTGACATTACAAAACAATGTGGAGTGTCAAAGGATAGCTTTCCACAATTTCAGCTTTTCCTCCTCCGTACAAAGTATAACTACTGGGTTAAACAATAAATCGAGATTTGCGTCGATTGAAAGTAAAGCGAGCTTTTTGAAAAGCTCCAAAAATATAGGAGTCTTTAATACTTTCCCAAGGAGATTAGAATGGGGCCGTTGGACACCTCCATCTAGATTAAAACAAATTCAAGAGTAGGGAAACCAGAGTTCTCTTTGTATTTTGAGTTGTTTCGTTTAGCTTTCTCCTTACAAGTTCATTTGTTTGCTCCGTGTCTTTTGCTGGATAATCTCGCCCTTGATGTGTACATATCAAGGATGGCATTGATGAGTTTCTACCGCAGGTGATGGCGGATTTAGACTTATGGCTAGTTTCTACTTTTCAAAACCCAAGGATTTGACATAAAAAATGCAACGGGAAAATAATGCAATGGTTTTAAAAAGGGGGGCTTTCGTTAAATTCAATAGGTATTGCAACTATGTATTATATTGACTAAAAACACAAAATAGTGTTTCAACAGAGGTCTTAATGACTTAGATATTATAACGGCAGAAAAAATAACTAAAAATACGAATGAATTAAAGAAATACATGTACTGTATTCTGTACAACATGCTGAACATATTTACATGTGTATAACCATATGATATACTTAGTTACAAATAACTCTGAGTTTATCACGCAGCGTTCTGTTGCAAATTATTCACGACTTTTAGGCTGGTTCTTCTTCTTCTTCCTCTTCTTGTCTGACCACAGGAACTCCTAAACAGCAACAAAAATAGTGAAAATACAACGCCATAAAAGTCAATGTAGTCGTGAAAATGCGACCATACCCAGGGGCACATTGATAACCTATCTCTAGGAATTTTAACCCTCACCCCCCACCCTCTTCTCTAAATTAATATTTAGGAAGTAGAAATGGCAAAGAGTGATGAAGCAAAATATCGCACATAATCACTCCAGGTTGACAATAACCATTCTACCTTGCACTGCAAATACCGTGATTGCAGCATTCCCAGGCGCGTAAAGTGCTTGTAACTTATGGGAAACACACGCATGTTACACCAAAAAACCCGCGTGTATCAGAAGAGGCCGATTATTTGCAATTTCTCGTAGTTTTGAATTTCCCTTTTGTTTTTCAGTACACGCATATGCTTGTAATTTTTTACACGGATGCGATAGCGATTAATTGGAAAAGCATTCCTCGAAATAGAAATCGTCGTGTGTTTTGAGCGAAAAAGATCGTCAAGTGATCAAAACAACACCGGCCAGATTATGGTCACGTGCTCGGCGACGACTTGTAGAAACCGATCATACTTCATTTTTACCACCAGAAAAGTCACGTTTGCATAGCAAAACAACAAAACGAAACGACCATAACGAAAAGACCGAAATTGGTATACCTGCCAAAACGTCCCAAAAAAAACCCTGATACGAAAGAAATAATGCCCTACTTTAACAATTTTTTTTGTCATGGGTACATGTTTCCGTGGGAATATCCATGTCAACAGCTTACTCTGTCACTCACAAACTCTTCGTGATTCTCGCTGGTCCTCGTAATGTTTAGCACATGAACGATTCGAAGACCCTTCAAATTTGGTCTCTAAGTTGATCATACCACTAATCTGAAACATTCGAAGTCCATTTCAATTTAGTAAATGTCGAAACAGCC